GCCGGTATATGCAAGCAAGATACACAAACTTCTTTCCGATCTTCACTTGACAGACAACTGCCTCAATCTTATTCCAGGAGTCATCAAATACTTGAGTAGTAGGCCACACCTTCTTCACCATCATTAGCACACCACCCCCTAATCCATTGTCTGTAGCTCTGTCCCTCCTGAAGACATTATAGTTGGTACAGTCAAGAAACTGGGGTACAACACTTTCTGATGACAGTTTTGTCTCTGTGATCAGAACCACATCTGCATTGTTCTGCTCCACAACCATATCAAGCTCACATCCCTTCACACCATTAAGCCCATCAATATTGGTGTACACACAAGTCAACAATTTATTCACTCTGCATTTTTCTTTGTCATATTGTTCCTCTGCCTCAGTGCCGTTGTTACAAACGCTTTCGTTACTGATCCCGTGGGACAACTTTCCCACGAAAGATTCTGTGAGTCTCCTTTCCCTTCATCCTCAGTTCGACTCTCAGCTTGTGCTGTTTCTCCCTCTCTTCCTTAGAAAGGTCCCTGTTAATATAGACATTTGCATACCCAGCATCTCGCAGTCTCAGCCTCTCCTGGAATAGCTTGTTGGCCTCTTCCTTGGTCTCAAACTTCACTAGCAGGAGACTTGGTTTGTCCCCATGTTCTTCTCCCTGCTTTCCTCGCAGACGAATGGCTCCTGTTATATTGAGCTTCACATCCTCGCCACACACGGCTTTGGCAATTTCCATTACCTTCTGTTTGTCATCCTCTCTTCTTTGCCCAGCATCTGTCTTCTTGCTTTCGCTCAGCCCATGTATGATAACGTTGTTGCTTCTTTCCATCTTTTCATCCTTGGTTTGAACTACTTTCTTCAGGTTCTCGGATGTCGTATCAAGCTGTTTGGTAACCTGTTCTTCCATTTTCTTGATTTGTCCTTGGACCTTCTTTTCGACTTCATCCGCAGTCTCCTTCTTGTTTTCAGACACAACTCGAATAATCCGCTTCTCGGCTTTCTCAATGCATGCTTCTACCCTCTTCCCCATATCAAGTATTCCGCTCAGCCTTTTCCGACAATCAGTGCAAATCCATAGCAGGTTATAGGTGTTGATGGCGTTGAGGGCCTCTGTGCACAGGTCCTGACATTTGGGGTGATACCACTCGAGACAGGCTTCACATTCTATGGATTTCTCTTTCCCGCCTATCACCTTGTCACATGGCTCATCACCCCCTTTACAGATAAATCTTACCTTCTTTGCTTGTTTCCCTCTTTTTCCAGCCTCCCACCAGCATTCACCATCCTCGTCACCACTTTCATTGACACTTGCCTTTCGCGCCGCTCCCGAATCATTATTGTCGCCGGCGTCCTTGCCCTTTCCCGCCCGTGACATTTTCCTCCGGTTATGTTCAATTTCTGCTCAAAACGCTCACGCAAGCAGAAACAGCTTCCTTGATTGGACTGCACAACGATAATGTCCAATGATAGCCTGCTTACAGCTCTGGCAGCAGAGTGTAGGAACAGGGCAAGGATACTGTGACCAATGAGTGCGGAGCTACTCGGGGCACGTCCGGTCGGGTCGAGCTCCAGGGGAAGACCCTGGAGCTCGACCTCTTTTTATAGGTAGACAAATGTCAAAGTTAACGAATTTAAACATCAGAAAACAATTAAAATGACACAATCGGAAAATTGCCACCCAAGACCCCTCGTTATGTCCTTGAGGTCATCTCAGTTCATGGAAGGCCTCCAGAGTTTTTTTTTCAATTAGGTACTTCTGATAGAGACATGCGGCATGCCTGAGCGATGAAAACACCTTAGATGATTTCAGTTTGACGATACAAATCGACTGATATGCATCATGACCTTTACCAGTCAGGTCATGACCTGGACCTGAGCTCAAATTTCCCAAATGACATTTGAATGTCAAATTATAGTTCATTCGACGCATCTCGACGGGAGGAGCACAGTGCTGAAAAACAATGTCGAAACTTTCGTGAGTCAATAATTATGACAGTAAAAAGGTCCTTCATTAAAACAGCTCAGTACAGGGGCGGAGGGGGGTCCACTGTCCACTCCAACCCTCCCCGGCCCGGCACGGGTTAAACAAGTTGTGCTCTGGAGGTTAAGCCGTTGATGTTAGGTCAAGTCTGAGGACATGATAGGAATGTTGAAGAGCTATCGAATGCGCTTTTTCGCGGTGCTGTAGTTCTATTTTTCCCCGAGTTATGCGCCGGTTTGTCAATAAATGTTGAAACAGACATTTCACCTTTGATGACCTCTGGTCACCTGATATTTGACATTCGACTTGACCTTACCAAAGTACGGTTAACCAACTAACCCAAGTAGTTTTTGACACTCTTTCGAATGCCGCTTACCGGCTTACCGCGTGTCGCTACGTGGCCCAGTAGCCAAGTTATAGGGGTCGGGAGGGGGGTTCAAACAACCCCAGCCCGGCGCCGGTTAAGGGAAGGCACTATCATTTTGGCCTTTGGGGGCGCTCGCGCTGCAGATATGCTAAGGGGCGACAGCATCATTTTGAGGCGCGCCACCAACTTTTTTTAGGGCACTTAAGCCACTTTGAGGGGCCGGGCACCACCGACACTGTGAGGAGCGTAATCATCACTTTGAGCGTTGAGGGGTGGCACCATTACATTGAAGGGCGCCATGTGCGCAGTGATGTGGGGCAAAATGACAATGAGGAACGCCTCCGGTACTTAAAGAAGAGACGCCAACATTACTTGGGGGGGGGGGGCAACATCACTTTTTATTTTGAGGACGCCACCCACATTGTAAGGGGCGGCACTGTAACTTTAAGGACCGCCGCGGATACTTAAAGGGGCGGCTCCATCATATGGAGGGGCGCTACAGATCGTTAATGGGCGGCAATAGGTATGATATTTAGGGACTCCAATACTTCGAAGGGCGCCACCGTTTGTTTGAGGGTGACATCATCACTTTGAGGGGCACCACCGATACTGTTCGGGGCGCCACCGACACTAGGTATAAGGGGCGCCACAGGCACTGCCAGGAGGCGAGCACAGTCATCACTTTGAGCGGCGTTACTATCACATTTAAGGGCCCCATGAGCATATTGGGGGGGGGGCGGCACCATGACGTGGAGGGGCGTTACGGAAGGTTTGAGGGGCGGCAAATGACATTGAGGAGCGCCCCCGACACTTCGAGGGACACTAGCATTTCTTTAAGAGGCGGCATCTTGACTTTTGAGGAGACACCACCGACACTGTAAGGGGCGGCACCATCACTTTGAGGGGCGCCACGGATGGTTTAAGAAGCGGCACCATGATGTATATGGAGGGGCGCTACAGAAAGTTAGAGGGCGGCAACATTGTATTGATGAGTTCCTCCAACACTTTGAAGGGCGCCAGTGACACCGTAAGGGGCTGCACCAGCACTTTTAGGGGCGGCAGCATCATTTTGAGGGGCGCCACCGACTCGTTGACAGGAGACACCATCACATTTAGGGGCGCCACTGGCACTTTGAGGGAGGCACCATCACATTGAGGGGCGCCACCGATACTGAAAGGGGCGGCATCATCTTCTTGAGGGGGCGGCATCATCTGCTTGAGGGGCGACTCCATCACAATGAGCGGCTATGTGGATACCTAGAGGGGCGGCACCATTATATTGGTGGGTTCCTCCGACACTTGGAAGGGCGTCACTGACACTATAAGGGGCGGCGCCAACACTTTAAGGGGCGGCAGCATCATTTTGAGGGGCGCCACCGACTCGTTGGCGGGCAGCACCATCACGTTCAGGGGCGCCACCGGCACTTTAAGGGCGGCATCATCTTGAGGGGCGGCATCATCTGCTTGAGGGGCGGCTCCATCACAATGAGGGGCTATGTGGATACCTAGAGGGGCGGCACCATTATATTGGTGGGTTCCTCCGACACTTGGAAGGGCGTCACTGACACTATAAGGGGCGGCGCCAACACTTTAAGGGGCGGCAGCATCATTTTGAGGGGCGCCACCGACTCGTTGGCGGGCAGCACCATCGCGTTCAGGGGCGCAACCGGCACTTTGAGGGCGGCACCATCACATTGAGGGGCGCCACCGATACTGAAAGGGGCGGCGTCATCCTCTTGAGGGGCGGTATCATAACATTGAGGGGCTCCACAGATGTTTTGAAGGGCGGCACCATTACATTGAGTGGGGCTACTAACAGATTTAGGGGCGGCACTATCACATTGAGTTGCGGGATCATCACGACACTTACTATAGACGGCTGCACTTCACTTTAAGAGGCGGCATTATCATTTCGGAGGGCAGCAGCCTCACTATGAATGACGGCACCTAGCCTGCATGTGCGTGCTGCATCCTAGAGGGGGCGGCAACTGGGTCGGCAAACGGCTGTCACTGGGTCGGCATTCTCCGTGACTGGGTCGGCAATTGCCGACCCAGTTAACATGTTAAAATACGCCCTGCATCCTATCATCGGGACGCCATTACCGCCCGCCTCATCTCATTGTAATCCAGTTACCCCGCCTCTCCTCTCCGCGCGGCCGGCCGCTCGGCCACCGCACGTGGTCCCACCCACCCCTGCGGCCCGTTTCCGGAAGTGTTGCGGAGCGGCGCGCGCCGGGGGCCGAGCCGCGCCGCCGCCGCGCCGGCTTCAAAGCGTCGCGATCGATGCTGCCGGGCTGACGGCGGCCGCCGCGTGCCTGGCCAGTGTCGACGCTCCGCGGTCGGCCCGGCGCCGGCGTCCTGTCGGTGGGCCCATGAGCAGCGAGCGGCCGCGCGCCGGAGGACAGGGCACTGCGGCAGGCGGTGTGGCAGGCCCAGTGGGAGGAGGTGACGCAGGAGGTGGAACAGTGGGTGGCAGAGGAGGAGCGGGCGGTGCCAGAGGTGAGGTGAAGGATCTCCGTGGCAAGGCGCGCACTGGACGAGAGAAGGCTGCTGGCACCAGTGGAAGACCACACGGAGACAAAGAGTCGAGCCCTGCTGGAGGAGAAGCTGGCCGCGGACGTGCTGGAAGAGTTGCTGAGGGACGCGCTGGATTCGGCTGCTGTGCTGCAGCCATGGACGGCGGACTGTGCCGGTGTCTGGCCTGCGGCAGGAGGCGGACGACGGACTCGCCGCAGGGTTCCCCGGCAGAGGACAGTGACCTGCGCATTAGGAAGGTTGGTGACCTCACTGTCGGCGGCGACCAGGGTCTGGCCACGGGAATAGAGCAGGCATCCTGCACCAGGCTAAAACATAGGCTGAAGGGAAACAGAGAACGTGTGGAGGCTTACTGAGGGCCATGCAGGGAGATTCGTGGTCGAAGTCGGTGCCTGGGGCTATAATAGACGACTATAAAGAATGCAGATATTTGCAAAAAATATTTATATCGAATATGAGCAATCTTTTCCTGAGTTGGTCCTTCAGTTGGTTTCTAGGTGATGAGCAGTGATGCAGCAAAGAAGTGATGAGCAATGATGGAAGTGGGTGAAGGGGCTGGCATGAAGAAAAGAAAATCACGCCCTACCAACATATCTTGAGCAGTTGTCACTCGTTCTTTTTCACCGCATTGTTGCCTGGTAGCGTCAGCTCAGCTGCAACAGGTGCGTCCACACTGTGCCCCGGGGGGGGGGGGGCGTGACCGGCGGAATGGGTCGTTACCGCGTGCTCTCGATGGGCGCCGCTTTCGGTCTGAAGACTGTTTCTCTCTGAATCGCGTTGGCTGATGGGATTTTCTCGAGTGCTGCTAGCTCCACACTCTTATCCGTGATAGGCATTAGATGATGAATGGGACATGGGTTGTCGTCATTGAACGAAGTAATTCGCCGCCCATCAAATGTTTCTTTTCATGAGATTAAGGATGCGAATGCTACCTATTGTTCTTTTAATTGATTGGATGAATATAACGAAATATTCTGGTTTTCCATCGCTTTGTAAGACTGGGCTATCTGTCCTGTCCGTTCTGTTCTGTCCGGGTCGCTGATGTAAGAGCTGGTACGTTTTTGAAGTTGACTGATCGTATAGTTGGGTGACATTGATATCTCTTTTGATTGCCAGCCTAATGGATGACAGCTTATCACCAAAGTCATTCCTAAGACCGCCTCGACTCCCCTGACCGATAACACCAGTCAATCGACATATCATTTGACTTGCACTGACAGTGACAGCAGAGCACTCTTGCGCCGTGACTGTCTTGCAGGGCCCAGTTTTGTCTGGCAGTGTTGAAGGCATCTGGTTAATGAGAAGAGGGACACCATTTCTGTAGAATCGAGGAGTGGATCATTGACTTTTGGTTGGGGCAAAACCCAGCCGACCGATTCTTGCCAGACTCTTGCTTTTTTTCAAAAGCGATGAAGACGCATGTTCTGGATTAGTTTCTTCCGGTAAACGGTAGGATTCGCGCTCAACTTTCGGCAACTTTCAGTGGTCTCTTAATGATTTTCTTGCTACCAACTTTCCAGGGCAGGAATGCGGTATAAGAGGCTGGCTTTATGAAAGGATCGAGTTCTAAGATGAAGACATTCAATATCATATGAGCTGCCCACGCAGGAACTTTGGAAGGCTCAGTACCTAATCTGCCCACTTGCACCGGCTCAGTCATGGCCCCGGCGAAGTTCACCAACTGCTCGTTGACCCAGCGTCGCAGGTCTCGGACTTCGACGGCCACTCTGAAAGCAGCTCTTTGGCGACTTCTCACGTGACGTCGCCGCTGACACCCACATGCCGGTGACACCCACCTGGCTTTGCTGGTGACACCCACGCTGGCGCGATGTTCAGCGACCTATGAAGAGGTCTGGTGACCTCCGCCGAGTGATCTATTGACCTTTGCCGTGAACTCTGCCGAGTGATCCGATGACCTCAACCGTGACCTCTGGGGAGAGATCCGATGACCTCTGTCGCGACCTGCACCGAGTGATCCACTGACCTCTGCCGGTGTAGGTGATGACGCAGTTCCGTCACGGTCTGCGACGTCTGGGTTTGTTTTTCTGCTGGCACCGTGGACTGGCGCTGGGGCAGTGGGTGGTGGGTGGTGGACTGCCGGCGATGGGTGTTGGCGAGGGTGACGGTGGTGTAAATTAGTGGCGTCATTGGCCGCCAGTGGAGCAGAGGTGTTGATGAGCATGGAGATGCAGATACGTGCAGGAGATACGTGACCTTTGCTGGTCACGTAGATGCCACGGTCGCCAAAGCGAAACGCATGGTCGGTCTGCTGATCAGAAGCATGCAGCGATCGGCCGTCCCGCGCCGCGCCAGGGTCAGTTTTAAGCCTTTACTGTCTGTGTTTTACGCTCATGTTCGCTCCATCATCGAATACGGCAGTGTGGTCTGGTCTGGTGCAGCTGTGACTCACCTCAAAAGACTCGAACGTATTCAGCACACGTTTCTCATCTGGCTGGCCTGTTCTAGTAACACTTGCTCACAAAATCTTAGCTATGATCACCTACTTCAGCATTTTAACGTTCCCTCGATCAAATCACGTCTCATGCAACATGACCTGATGTTCCTTTACGGTGTGTTTCACGGCCACATTGACTGTCCTCAGCTGCTACATCAGTTTCAGCTGTCGACACCTGTCAGACGCAACAGGTCCCCAGCTCTTTGGCATGTGCCGTTTGCTCGAGTGGCAACGATCAAAAACAATACCTTCTGCCGTATCCCATCGAGGTGCAATGAGCTTTTAAGAGACAACACATCTCTAGACTTCTTTTATTCTCCGATATCAGTGTACAAGGCCTCTGTAAGGCTCCATGCTGCACGAGCTGGCTTTTATTGAGCTTTTGTCCGTCCGAAGGGTTGCGTGTATTTATATAGATTTATCTTATATTTATCTATGACTTCACCTGTAACCGGGTTTTATCTGTACCTGTTGGTGATGAGCAAATAAACAAACATAAACATAAACATAAACATGACTGTGATAGGTGAAACAGCCCTTGGGTTCTTTTGGAAATTCTTGCCGCAAGTTTTGATTCATTAAATTAAGCTTCTGCATTATGAACTTAGGTCACCAAAGCTGTATAAGGATATATCTGTTTCTGGAACTCAGTGAGGTCTCTTTCTCAGGGCACTTCAAGATGTCTGACGCTATGGTGACGACACAGGCTGTCTGGCCGAGGCTCGGGCCGCTTTGATGATATCGGTCCACGGACGCTGCTTCCATTGATCAGCTTTGCTTCCTGACTTTGCTGAATTGGCTTCCAGTTTTGCTGCTGCTTTTTTGCAGCGTCCGACATTCATGTTTTTACTCCGACAAGAAAGCTGGTGCTTTACATATAGAACTTTTCCGCGGTGTGTCTGATATGGCTCGCATGTTTCTTACGTGCCGACCTGAATTCGGGATGCTCAGCCTTTGATATTTTTTCCGTGAGCGTGTTTTCTTTTGCTGGGAGGCCTTTTCGTTATAAATAGCCGTCGCCGGTCCGCGCTCGTGCGAGCTGTTTCGGCCGGTATCTCGGGGCGCCGATATCAGTTCTGCACTGCCGGCGATTGGCGCCATTGTAGCCGCCTTTCTACCGTTGCCCCGCCGAGGCTCAATAAGCGTTTCGGGGAAGCGTCGCCTCTCCGAACGACAGAGTCTGACGGTGACAGTGTGCTAACGAGCCGAGCCACTCCCAGCGAACGTCGCCGTCGGTCTTTGTCGCGCCCTGGGGGGGGGGGGGGGGATTGGTGGTCACTGACCGGTCCGTTACCGACCACCAGTGACCAATGACCGGTCCGTGACCGACCACCAGTGACCAATGACCGGTCCGTGACCGACCACCAGTGACCAATGACCGGTCCGTGACCGACTACCAGTGACCAATGACCGGTCCGTGACCGACTACCAGTGACCAATGACCGGTCCGTGACCGACTACCAGTGACCAATGACCGGTGGTCCGGCGGGTGGACGAATGGATTAACTTGGTTACAGCCCAGAAATGGGCCCGCACCGGACGCTACGCTGGGATCTCGGTGAGCCCGCGTCGGTTGGATGCCCGCCCGGCTCGGATAAGACCCGGACGGTATGACACTGTTTTCCAATGACTGGCTCATTACAATGTATAGAACAGATCCATCCAACTAAACTCGCTGGTGTCCATATCTTAGCGACCTTATGCTGATCTTATATCAGAAGCAGTCACAAAGAACGGGAAGCCGTCAATGGATGCGATCGTGACGGTTTTGAAACCACTTGTCTTCACTCATTCAGCCAGCCGCGCGTGTCCATCACAGAACGGACATTGTTATTCGATTGTTTCGGACATCAGGTCTGCCGCCGCTTCCCGTCTAGACGCGGCTCACGCGAGGAATAGTGCTAGCACGATAGCCCACAGCAACCCTTATAGCTACATATACCCTTCAACCTTTACACAGCCCTCACACAGCCAATAACCCTCATAGTCACTGCTCGGTGTCACCGTGGCGCCGGCGACCGTCCCGGATCGGCCGCCACGTACGGGCGTGCTGTCGAGCCGCGATCAACAGTCTCGAGTCTGACATGATCTCGACAAAGCCACTAAAGCCCGTCCGACGCACGGGGCAGGCGCCGGTGCCACCGCGGTGGCAGCGGCGGTGGTGGAAGGAGCTCCCAGTGACGGTGCTGGCTGTGGCTTCGGCCTACTCACCACGCAGGTGTGTTTTGTCCGGATCGTCAGAGTCACGCCACCCAGAGCCATCGGTGCAGCTGTCGCCAATGTCCAGTCGTTAGCGATGTCGATAGCGCCTCGTAGTTACTAGCTGGTGTCTGAGTGGCCTTAACGTGTCTTATGCCACAGAAACGACAACGCTGTGATGAGATATAAAGGATGCAAGTGAAGGTTGACTTACAAACGGGATAACGCCAGTGCTTCGGTGGCACTGGCGGCATGGTAAGATCGACAAGGTGCGGTTAGGTCGACATGGGAACCTCGGTGGCACAGGTAGAAGCAGTGCAGTAAAACAAGTTTAGGTCCTCGACAGCACTGGCAGCGCAGTGCAGTAACACACTGCAGTGCTACCGACAAAGGCCCCAGTGCACCGCTGTATTGATTGGTGCCGCGTGTTACCGCTGGCCCGGCGGTCGTTAAAGGCGGCGGGGAGGAGATTGTGGCCAGATATCCTACTCAATGGGGCGACAGTCGACACACATACATAATACAGCACTCAAACGGCGACCCGGCGGGGGTGGGATAGTGTGGGGTGGGTGGGGTTAGCAGCGA